GCAGGGAGCCTGCTTGAGATTCTCTCTCTCCTGCTGCCCCTCCCCTCACACTCTGTCTCTCCCTCAAACAAACAAATCTTAAAAAACAAAATAGGACACAGAAGCAATGTTCTGGGGTGAGCCTTGGCCATGATCAGGGCCAGCGCCTCACCAACCACAGGAGGGAAATCACTCACCCCAGTCTAGGCTACCCGGTGGCAGACCTGACCTGACATAACTCTGCCCTCCAGGACCTTCTGCTCCAGAAGACACCTGGGCTCTGAAACCAAGGGGTCTGCTGCCAGGTTCCACCTTCAGCCTGAGGGCAATGACAGCAAACCCCTGCCTCCACATTCTCCCCAGAATGTGCAGAATTTATGCACATTCTGACTCGCCTCTCACAACTCTGAGGTAGGAGGAGCACGACAATCACGGATAGGGTGACGAAGCTCGGGAGGGACACACGGCTGGCCAAGCCCCCGGGGGAGGGGGGGTGGCACTGGAGCACGGAGGGTCTTCAGCTGGAGCACCCCCAAGCAGCTCACCTCTCAACGGGTGATGGCGATCATCACCACGCAGCTTCTCAGCAGATCTGGCCTCACTCTCGGCTGAGCAAGCAGCTGAAGCTACTTGAAGGGGCCCCAGTATCCATTACCCAAATCCAAACGGTAGTCGTTACCTAGACCGGGGGTGGGGTGGGGGTGGGGGTGGCTAAGCTATTCATCGTTGCGAGGCTGTGCCTTCTGAGCTATGTTTTCCAAAGGCTTTGGCAACCACGGAACATAACTCCTCGAGATAGGATGGAGGCAGAACTAGAAGCCACCGCCCTGCTCCCGGCTGAGCCCCAAATGACCACAGCTCACTCCCGCTGATGTCAAGAGAATATTTATTCCACCTGGTCGGCCCCGGCAGGTCTTAGTGACCAACGGAAATATCCAGCCTGGACACCATTCCCGCGCACTCCTGCGTAGCCATGGGGGGGGGTCCCTCTTGTCCCACTGCCTAAGGGCTCCTACAGCCATTACCGCCCCAGGCGAGCCAGCTCATGGCCCAGGCAAATGCACCCACGTGTGAACTCACGGGCCCTCTCCTCCTCACCACCAGTCACCCCACAGCCCCCAGCACTTGACCCATCAGCTATTCGACAAGTATTTCCTGAGTGTTATGAGCCCAGCCCCGTGCTGGACCCTGTTTGGGTTCAAGAAGACATGGCACGTCCCCTGCCCTCAGGGAGCTCACAGTCTAGCTGGAGATTCAGCACACACATGCACACGTGCACAGAAAACCCGAGTACGAGGCTGCACGTGCTCCCCGAGGGTGAGGTGGCGTGGTCACACAGGGACTGTTCGGGGGACAAGGATGGAGGGCCTGGCAGAGAAGAGAGCTCAGCAGGGCAGGGGAGGCCCACATTTTGGAGCAATTCCAGGGAAGACGGAGAAGGCAACAGCGGCTGTGGGCCACACAGTTACAGGGAAGGGAGGAGAGGAGAGGACAACCACGGAGAAGGGGTGCCATCTGTGAGGCTCCGTCCAGGCGGGCCAAGGATCAGAGCACGTGAAAGCTTCTAGAGTGCAGATTGTTCCTCTTCCTCTGAGCTCCTCCAGAGTGGTTTGGTATTCCAGGACGAGGCAGATGGCAGATGGCCCACAAGAACCTCTGCACCAAACCGCATGGGAGACAAGCCCAGCAAGGTCCCGGGCTGGGAGCCAGGGAGGCCTCCCGACAACCCTAACCAAACCCCGGCTTGGCCCTGGGACCTCCCACCTAAACAAACTCCACTGTGCCCCCCACGACTCACATTGCTGGGCTATGATCTAAATCCCATGTCTATAGGCCTCTCCCCACCCCCAAGGGTTTCACTAAATATAACCTGCAACATGACGCCTGGGTTGTCATCAAAAACCCATCCCAGCCCTACCCGGCCACACCTTTTCAGGTTGAGTGGTTCATTCTGAGGAGGCCAGTGAGCCCCAGGCCAACCTGCTCCCACTGTCCACGCACGTTACACTGGCAGGCCCCAGGAGAGAGGCTCGGTCTTCCTCCCCAGCCTTCCCCACACCATGCCCGGCTGCAGCTGAACCCTGGTCTGGCAGGAGACAGCCCTGCTGCACTTGGCTGCTGGAAGCAGGATCCCTCCCCCAGGTAGACTGGGCCCAGGCTCGTGCTCACCCCACATCCACGGAAGGTCCAGCTTTCCTCTCCACCTCCACGGTGAAATCGGAGTCCAGGCTGCGTGGCGAAAACCAGCAGCCAGGTAGCCAGAGCAAAGCAGCCCCGAACCAGAGAAGAGCAAACCCAGCCCAGGGAGCCTCCAGCAATGTCCGCGGAAGGGAGGAAAGGTCCCAGAAGCCTGATGCACTGTCAGGCCCAGGGGAAGAGAGTGACTGGAAGGGTCCCCTCCTCAGAATCCTTTGTTCCTGAATGAGGGAAGGAAGTTCAGCTGGAGGAGGGAGAAATGCTACTTGTACGGTGGCCCAGGCTCTATGCCAGGTGAGGAAGGAGTGACGGGTTAGGTCCGGGGCCTCTGAACTGGCTTGTAGATTCTCATGTCTACATGAGTATGCGTGTTTTCCTGGCGAGAAGGTTCATAACGTCTGTGAGATTTTCAAAGGGCTTCATGCCCCCCAAACATTAAGAACCATCGCTCTGAGAGTGAAGCCTGCTGCAGGTATGGGTCACCCCTGGGGCAAAGCTTTGCCTCTAGAGCCAGGTCTGGCACCGACTCGCTGTGTTCTCTTAGGGCCAGTTACTCCCTGTCTCCGGTGGGCCATGCAGGTGCAGAGAAGCCGGCTCTCCACACAGGCACTGTCCCTGCGGCCACAGGAGAGTGGACTGTGGCCGGGCAGCCAGGACGAGCTCTTCTCCAGCTGTCACTCCCACCGGGTCTGGGGAGTTCTTCCACCAGGGGCACAGAACCCACCTCCAGTTCCAGGCTGCACAGGTCCCCTCTGCAGGGCACCTCCCGAGGTAGGTCTTCTTAGGGGATGTATCCTCATGCCAGTGGGCAGGCCCCCACAGGGCCCCATTCCTAGGCTCTGTGCCCAGATGTGCCTGACACACCGCCCAGAGGGCCTGCCCACTCCACATCTGTTCATGGAGACAAAGAGACCAGGGTCAGGTCCGGGGCTCTGACATGGCCCTGCCCAGCCCCCCGTCACACCCGCCCTCCCAGCGGCTAGGCGGGAGCGGTCATCTGGGCCACCCTGCACTTGTCCGGAGCTCCGAGCCAGTCTTCTTAGCCCCCTACCAGGTACTCCAGGGCTATCGATCCCATTTACCACTGAGACAACTTGAACTCAGGGCATTCAAGTTCCAGATGTCCCGGGGCCCAATTAATCTCATCATCTCTGCCACTGAGTACTCGTCCACAGCGTAGCGGCCACATTGCTGCAGCCACCTAGTGGCAAGCAGAGGGCCACTGACCCCCAAGGAGCCCCAAAGCTCTAAGGAAGGGCAGAGGGTGGGGACAGGTCTCCAGCACCCAGCAAGGTGGTGGCACAGGCTGGGCACAGAGCAAGGGCTCTGTGAGTGCAGGTCCCTTCCAAGACCCCAACTCCCTTCCTCCCAATCCACTACTGTGGATGTCATGCTCCCCCCCCAGGCCCCCACACCACCCAGGGGCAGCCCTGCCCAGGATCCTACCACCTGGTCTCCAGTCACATTCCCACATCCTTGACACTCCATGTTCCCACCAGTAAGAGCCTCCCTCACAGGCGGTGTGGTAGAGATACAGGGTCTTGGGGGCCAGGCTTGTACTGTTTTACCACTAAGTACTAAGTGAGATTTGGAGCAGGCTTGGGTGAGCCTCAGTTTCTTCATCTGCTAAGCGGCTGAAGAAGCCCGTGCTCTGGAGCACCAACTTGGAATCAGGGGCCTGGGGGCCAGTCCCGGCTCTCCCCTTGGTCAAGCCCCTTAGCTAGGGGTCTCATCTTCTCTCGCCCAGACGACCCCACAACCCTTGAGTTTCCTGCTCACCCCACTCTGACCTGTCCTCACGGTGCTCCCATTTCTCCTTGAGCTGCGTGTCTGAGATCGCCGTGCTCTCCTCATTAAACATCTTGGTATCCTCTCTACCTGGCCACAAAGTCTTTTGTAGGACAAATATGAGCCTTCTCTATCTAACTCCTGCCTCAGAGACCTTCCACCTTCCCTCTCCCTGGAGCACTTCTATTCATCCCCAGAACCCAGTTCAAGCCATCAGACTGCCTTGGAGACACCAACCCCCTACCCCCACCTCCCAGCGCACTTTCTAGTCCGTCCCTCAGGATAGCCTGCATCCCCTGTGTAGGTACCAAGTGTCCCCCCTCCCAACGTTTTGTGTCTGTACCACCTCCCAAGAGCACAGCACTGGGCATGACACACCGGGGTGCTCAATAGATGTTTCTGGACCAGTGAGGTCACCCTCTCTTATCTGGTAATGTTTAACTACAATCCTCACAATATCCCAGGGAGAAGTCTATTGTTAAATGCAATTCACAGATGAAGAGACTGAGTCATGAAGTGAAATGACTTCTCAAATACACAAGAAGTGTTAGAGCCAGGACGGCCTGGGGGCTGAGGGCAGCCTGGGCATTGCGGAGAGTGGCCCTCTCCAGGTGGCTTTCAACTCTGACATTCTGGGAAGGAAGATCTAGTAAGAAGCTAGTCATAGACTCAGAGCTCAGTGCACCCCTCCTCCCCTGCCTGTTCCCCCCGCCACCCCCCCACCCCCGCCAACTCCTGCCCAGGCGGCCGAGAGGGGCTCCGGCTGGCCCTTGGGTCTCACCTACTCTAGGCCGGGTGAGCCTGAGGAGCAAAACCAATGCAGGGGCCCAGAACAGCTGTGCGCTGCCAGCCAGAGGGTGGAGACACGGAAGGAGGCGTCCCAAGCCAGGCAGTGGCCCACTCCTTCAAGACCCCAAGCCAGCCCTCCCCGTCTCCAGGGATCGCATCCAGAACGGGGGCCGCAGGGCAGCGCCATCTCCGGGAGTCATGGACGCGGGCCCGGGGCGGGGGACGGGCGGCAGCAGGCCTGGGGCGCATCAGAGCACGCGGCCTAAATGGGCCGCCTGGCCCTCGGGCCCGTGGCCGTGGCTGCGCTGGTGGGCCTTGAGCGAGCCCTCGCGCGCGAAGCTCTTGCCGCAGCGGGCACAGAAGTAGGGCCGCCGCTCCCCGAACACGCCGGGGCGGCGCGGGTGTGGCGCGGGCATGCGCGCGTGGGTGCGCTGGTGGTTGAGCAGGAAGCGCGGCTCGCGGAAGCAGCGGCCGCACTGCGCGCACTGGTGCGGCTTCTCGCCACTGTGGATGCGCTGGTGCGTGAGCAGGTTCTGCTTGAGGCTGAAGCAGCGCCCGCACTCCGGGCAGGCGAAGGGCCGCTCGCCGGTGTGGGTGCGCTGGTGCACCTCGAGGTTGTGCTTGACGCTGAAGGCCTTGCCGCACTCGGGGCACACGAAGGCGGCCGCGCGGCCCACCCCAGCGTGCGCCTTCTGGTGCCGCACGAGGCTGGGCTGCTGCGAGAAGGTCTGGCCGCACAGTGGGCAGCGGTGAGGCTGCTCCTCCGCGGGGTGGTGGATGACCAGGCCTCGCTCGTCCCCCAGACCCTCCTCCCCGTCCCCCGCAGGGGACCCGCCCCCCGGGGACGCCAGCTCTGTCATGGGCACTTCCAGCCGCAGTCACCAGCCCCTGGGGAGGCAGAAGCAGAGAGAGGAGTCAGAAGTGGGGGAGGGGGGCATCCAAGGATCAACCAGCCCCCAACCTCAGGGAGGACATTGCCCTGGCTCCCCACAGCTTCAGCATCTGCCCCTCTACAGTCTTGTTCAAGCCAGTGTTTCCCTGCTGGAATGCCCTTCTTTCTCCTCTACCCCTTAATCACAGCCTGCGGCTCCTTGAGGCCTTTCTCGAGTGCTGCCTCCTCCCAAAAGCCTTCCCTGAACCCTCCAGCCCCTCCTGAGCCCTATGGCCCAACCCTATGACCCTCGGTCATCACATGGCAGGTCAGTCACGCCACCCCAGTCTCCTGGCCCTGTGCCTGCCTTAAGGACAGAGCTATCTCCTTCTTCTCTTCCCAACACCAAGCACTGTGCCTGCCACACAAAGCACTGAATAAATGACGATAGGTAATATTCAGGGGCTTCTAGTATTTAAGTTAGCCTGCCCCTGGATAGGTCTTCTCTCTCCAACTAGAATCTCAAGGAGGGGGGGTGCATCCCCAATCTGGAGGGAAGGGTGGGGTCACCTGGTGGTTCACAGATATTTTTGAAAAGCTTAAAAGAAAAAACAAAAACAAAACCCTGTACACTTGAAAGTAATCTCAATTAAACATTAAAGCAGCAGCTCTTTGTTTATCAGAATGAGGCATGCCTGTAAAAGGCTTGCAGATCCCTGAAAGGGAGTGTGAGCTCCCAGGAGCTGGTCTCAGCTCGATTCCTCTTGGCATCCCCAAGATACCAAAGCCTGGCCCAATGCTCCACAAACAGCCCCAAGTTCAGCTCCATCCCATTCATGCTGGTTCTGCTGAGGATCCTCTTCTCCAGGGCACTGCGTTCCTCTTAAATTGTTTCCCATTGTCCTCACAGCAACCCCGGGGAAGGAGCAGGCCTTACTGAGCCCTGCTTTATAGATGGGGTAACTGAGGTCAGCTTTCTTGCCCAAGGTCACACAAGGTGAGCCAGGACTAGGCCCTAAGTTTCCTGACTCACTGGCAAAAGCTCTTCTCAGTGTACCAGCTGCTCATCAACTAAACTCCCCTCAAAATACACACACACACACACACACACACACACACACACACACACAAGACCACCACCACTATCCTGACCACCAGAGTTAGAGACACACAAAGCACCACTGCTCCTGGAGAGCACTGTCTGCTGCCCCCACCTCCTTGCCCCCCAAAAAACCTAGGGCTCCTGCTGGGGCAGAGCACTGGGGCCTGCTCCAGAGTAGGCTGAGGGGGCACTCCCCTGCAGTCCTCCATCCCCATCAGGGACCTAGACCTCCATGCAGTGCTTACTACAACCTCAGTCGACCTATCTGCAGAGTGGGATCTCCGAGATACCCCTTTTTGTCTCCCCCCCCCTCCCCTCGGGCCAGGGTGGGACACACAGCCACCCTGGAGAAGGGGCATGTACTACTTGCAATAGACCCCACCCACGAGGCTTTCCCCAGCCAGCTGCATTGACATTTGCAAAGACAGACCATCACCGTCCCTTGGCCAATCTCAGCCTGGCCTTGTCTCTGGGCGGCCTCCCCGCTCTCCCCAGCTATATCCCTGACTAAGGCCCCGACTACGGAGAAGGTCTAAAGCAACGGCCCCCTCTTCTCCCCCAAGTTCCTCCATCCCCTCCCGCACTCACAGCCCAGGCTGCGCCCCTGTTCCTCCGGTCTCCAGCAGTGGCTCTTTCCTCTAGAGCCTGCGCTGCCCAGCGCAAATACGGTAGCTCTCCCGCAGCGCCTCCCGCGCCCCTTCTCCCTCGCCCCCATAAAGACGGCCAGCCTCCCGCACCGCTGTTTTTATGAAATAGCTTCATGAATCAAAACATCTGACCCCACCCACCCAACCTCCGCACACAACCGTGCAAACTCCCGCGGCCGGAGCGACCCTGGAGAAATATGGTAAACTCTGCGCCGCAACCTCGCCCCCACGAAAATACGTAGGCCTCCTACCCTGCTGCCGCAACCCACCCCACCCGGCTGCAAGCCCCGGCTCCCTCGGGGCGCGGATGCAACCCACCCCCAGCTGCCGCAGCACCCCCGGGAGGACCGCGCAACCCTGGATAAATACGTAATTAAGCCGCGGCGCTCCCCGCTCCGGGAAAGGGTCTGCGCGGCTCCCGGCAAATACGGTAGCGCGCCCGCAGTGACCCGCCCCCAAGGGTCCGGAACCGGCCTCGATAAATACGGTAATCTCCCGCCGCGGCCCCAGCCCCGGCAGCCCGGGACTCACGTGGCGCCGCCTCCCGAGCCCCTCTGTCTCCGCCGCAGCGCCGCAGTCACACAGCAGCCCCGTGAGGCTGGGAGGTCTAACTCGCCGACGACCTGGCCGGCGGAAAACGGAGGGCTGCGGGCGCTGCGCGCGCCCGGGCAGGCGAGGGAACCGGGCGGGAGCCGGTTCGCGAGCAGAACGCCCCGCCGGGCGGGACACCCCAAGTTCCCCGGCCCCCGGCCTCAGCCATTCCCCTTTCAGGATCGTCCAAGGCCCCCAGCCGGCAGTTAGAGCCTCTTCCTCACCTCCCTCATCCTAAAGCCGCGCTACCCTGACCAGGCCCACGGACTGCCCCCAGAGCCCCGGAAGCAGGGTGTGGGGGCGCAGGCGGCCTAAGACTTTCCTTGCGAGAGAGAGCAGCGGGGGAAGGCAGGGTTCCCCTGCTGCGGAGCCTCTCCGAGCGGGGTGTCATGGGTGCGAGACGGCCATCGAAGGGGCAGAATCAGAGCTGCCCGAGCTAACCCCTGTTGCCAAAGCCTCCGTCCCCCACCACCACCCCCCCGTGGCTCGGTTTATGCCCCCAGGACGGCAGGGGACATGGAGGAAGTGACAGCCCAACTGTCCCCGCCTCTTCCGAACTGGACCCATTCCGGTCAAGCCAGAGCTATCCCATAAAAGATAGCCCATAAAAGAGTTACCTTTAACACCTATCGCACCCCCGTGGACAGGGCTGGGCTGAATTCCAGCTTTTCAACTGTCCTTCAATAATAATACCCCTTACCTATACATTACTCGTCTTTTTACAAAGCTTTTTCGCATATGTTATCTCGTGGGAGCCTTCCAATAACCGTGTGCCATCAAGGTTGTTCAGGTATCATTATCCTATTTTATGGATGGGAAAATAAAATAAAATTGAAACGGAGCAGCTTCCCCGGAGACCCGCAGCCCTAAGTGGCTGAAGCCAGATGGGAAGGCAGGCCCACCAGCCGACACCATTCTGGTCCCTAGACCCCCAACAGAAACAGGGTGCAATGATCAGGACTGGAAATAATCTTGTCCAGGGTAAAAAAGTGCCTCAGAATTTACACTTCATAGATAAAGAAACTGAGGCCAAAAGGGAAAGTGATTTTTTTTTTTTAAGTGAAAAGTGCTAGAGGAATATCAAGTAGCCTTTTTCTCTGTGGCCCCTGGTAGCTGCCAGGTGGGCCCAGGCAGAGCTCCTTACAACAGATGGTGGATGTGGCTGCTGGGGTGGCGCCATCCCTGACGAGGGGCCCTGGGAGCCGCAAGCCTCCTGGCCCCATGAGGCGGCTCCCGTCACCCGGCAGGTGTTGTTCAGTGTGCCCTCCTGGGCGGTGCCCACCTGAAAATACACTCAATCTCTTAAGTCTCAACACCAGACCTGAAGATCAGCCCTGCCTGCTATCACATCCCACTCTGTGGACCAGTCCACCCCAGCAGGTCCACCCCTGGCCCTCTCAGCCTCTCCAGGACCCACCCCCCACCCCACCCCATCCATGCTGCTCCCATAGCAGCACATTGAGCTAAGTGGGGCTTCCTGAGCTAGACATCCCAAGGACACTGGCACTTAAAATAGAGGCACCAGGGAGGGAATTCTGGGAAACCAAAAGAAATGAATCCATCAGGACAGATGTTCCCGTGACATTGCCAAAAGGACCCCCTTAACCACTGATGGCCAGGGGCTGGAGCTTTGCTCACGGGACAGCCACACCTCCCACCTGTCCAGCTCCTGTTGCAAAAGTTGTCAGCTGCCAGAGCTACGGGCCTCCATCCCTTCTACAGGCTATAGGAGAAACGGGGACACTTAGGCAATGACCAGGTTTTCCAAAAGCAAAACCAACAATGTACCCGAGGATGTCACCCATATTTTTAGCAGCATTTTCTAAGTAAGCTGTGCCAAAGTGGCAAGGCACACAGCTGGGGGAACAGGCGTGGGAAGGAGGTGACACCCCCTAAAACCCACCCCGTCTCAGTGAGCGATGCCCAGGGCCCGGGGCTCCCAGAGGCCTCCGTTCTCTGCTCTGCCAATGAATGAGTTCTGCTGAGTCACTTCATCTCTCTGGTTTCGTACACATGCACCCCCCCCACATGCACACACACACACACACACACACACACACACATTCCCCCATCCCCCGCCCACGGTTCTCATGTGCTGTGGTGAACACCACAGAATGGAGATGGGGAGAACTTCTGCAAAAGGAGACATTCTTCTTCATACAGGCGGGGCCCGTGGCAGGCATGGCAGGCTCACCGCCACTCCACAAGGCGTGGCCCCCTTGTGGGCAGAGGTGTGGACCGCTCAGGGAGCCCTGCCCAGGGCCCTGCACTGCATCTGTCCCACTCGCCGGGGCCGTGCTAGATGGACAGTCACCCCGTGTGCCCCCCCCCACCCCCAGGCTGCTCCTGCAGATCCCAGCCTGGCCTTCCTCCAACTCCTCTTGCTTTAGGCTGCATCCCCAGGGTTTTCCTGCTCAGCTGGGCCACCACTTCCCTCCTGATTCACTCCTCCCACTTCCTCGAATTGGACAGCAATCACTACATATCCCCTTCCAAAGCATCTTGTGTTGACTTCAAATTGGGATTTGGCACACCTTTGTTTTCCCACCAGGTTGTGAGCTCCAAAGGCAGGGGCTGTTTTCGGCATCTCTGGATCCCAGGTGCCCCCAGCATCTAATAGCCCCGCAGCCCATCTCTGATGAATGAATGAACGCACGTCCGTAAGCCACAGCTGCGAGCCACGGAGGGAAGATGGCAGGCAAAGCCACAGCCCCGGCATCGAGGACTGGGAGACACTGCAGACGCCCCATTGGATATGTGGGGCTGTGGGTGCAAGGTCTCATCTGCTCCGAAGTTCTCTTTCCTTGACATTAAAACCCAAGATGTGACCTAGGGTCAATTCAGCCAAGTTCTTAAACATGCAGCTAGCCTATTTAATACAGGTGGAGACTTCCTCCTTATGGGATGGAGGTCTGTTTGGGGAAAACCCTGTTCTTCTCTTTCCATAGTAAACTTGCACTTGTATAAATGCTGTGCATGTAGCCACACATGGGGCTTGTTAAAATAATGATGGTAACTGCTACTTATTGTGTTTGCTGTGCCAGGCGCTGTACTACAAGCTTTACAGAGGTGACCTGTACAGGGTTCCACAGCCTACACGGTAAAGCCAGAATTTAGCCCCAGAACTGTCTGGCTACATCCATGGCTCCCAACGACAAGAGAAAGCTCTTTCTAGATTTGAGTGGTGGCAGGGAGAGAGACAACATTTCTACTTCTTAATAGGAGCATTATTCCTAGAGCTATATTGTCCAAGAGCCACACGTGGCTTAGTTAACTAATTAAAATTAAATTTTAAATTCAGTTCCTCAGCCTCACACGCCACATTTTAAGTACTCAGTAGCCGCACGTGGCTGGTGGCTATGGTATTGGATGGCCCAGTTATAGAACATTTTCCTCATTCCAGAAATTTCTACCCGGACAGTGCCTGTCTAGGGCCCCACCCCCTCCAGATCTGAGTAACCTAGAAGGCACCACTCTCTTTTTAACCCAAGGGACAACCTATAGGATGGCATTCATTTTCTTCTCTGCCATGATCCAGTAGGAGCAGTGACATGTGAGAACATACTGTTTCTGGCCCCAACTCTTCTCCTCTTATCAAAAGGTCAAGGCTATATATATATTTTTAACCAAACTACTTAAAGAATAAAAGGAAAAGGTCTCAGAAGCACCCCTACCGCCCCCCCTCCTCCCAGGTGCTGTCTGCCAAGTCCCTGCTGGTCCCGCTCTCTCCCCGTCCGTGCACCTGCCCACTGGCCTCCCAGCCTCATCCCGCTCCGGCAGCTCCCCGGGGCTGGGGCTGGGCAAACAGGAAGCCCAATCCTCCTGAGGAGGCTGCCAGCTGGCTGGCCGACTCGAAGCTTAGGTTGCTTGCCAAAGAACCACCATTTTCCCAGTTCCTAGGCAATTTTTCTTAGCTCCCAGCCTGCTTCTAACGCAGGATGACGCAGGCAGTTCCAGGAACCGCAGCTCCACCAAGCTCAGCTGGCCCGTTAGAAGCTTGGCTGTGGGTCCCCACCCCAGACCTGCACTTACCTGGAAGTGGACGGGATAGAAGTCCTTTCAGATCTTGATCTGCTTATGGTTGTTTCCTGTTCGCCTGTGAAACCCTTTTATCTCAGCATACTCTAGAGTATGTGGGATTGTAAACCACTAAGATAGATCTGACCTTCTTGTCTGATTTTATGACGTGCCTCTTCCTAAGCATTCCCTGGCCTGGTTTTATTATTTTACAATGAAGGGGGATGACAATTGAAGTCGGCAATGCCAGGCCACCCTTGGAGAAGCCGGCAATGGTGGCAGTGGAAGGGGCTTGGCTAACAGGAGGCCTGGGATCTGCCCTTGGTTTGTGACATGACCTGGTGGGCCATTCTCACCACAGCGTCCCCCTTCCCTGTATCACCGCCCTGCCACGGTCACTGACTTCACGGTGAGGCTAAATGACATAGCGAACAAGAAAGTTTTTGTCAGGGAGCTGGGGCTGGGACAATTTATTCAAGAGCTGACTGAGCTACGGTGTATTAGTGATTTCCCATGAAGGTGCGTGAACTCCTTAAGGAATAGGGACCATGGCTGCTATTGGCTGAATTGTGTCCCCCTCCAAATTCATATATTGAAGCCCTGAACCCCCCCCCCCCCACAATGTGATGGCATTCAGAGCTAGGTCCTTTCCAGGGTAATGAGGTTTCGATGAGGTTGTGAGACTGGGATCTTCCTTGATGAGATTAGTGTCCTTACAAGAAGAGATACCAGAGGGCACGCTCCCCGCTCCCCCCTCCCCCTGCCATGTGAGGACACAGGGAGGTGGTGGTCACCTGCAGGCCAGGAAGTGGGCCCTCACCAATAACCGAATCTGCCAGCACCTTGATCTTGGACTCCCTGCCTCCACACTGAGAAATAAACGTCTGTTGCTCCAGCCCCCAGTCTGTGGTACTTTGTTATGGCCGCCCAAGTGCCTGGCACACAGTAAGCTTGTTAGTGAATCAGTGAATGCCATCCCCTGATCTGGCCAATGGGGTGTACATCTCAACAATTCTTCGCTCTAATGGATGTGGCCCTGTCCTCCCCCCTCCCCCCGTGACCCAAAGCACCCATCTGTGAGGATCAGTCACCTTGGGTTAGTGAACAAATCTCATGAATTTGCACGGGTAAGAAAGCTGTGCTTAGGCCTCATTAACCCCAAGTCCTACCAACACAGCTGTTGGATTGGCTTGATCATTAAACAGAGGCCATGTGTGGATGAGGACACCTTGGATCGTACAGAAAGTCCCACCTGACTGAGATCTTCAGTGGCTGCCTGCACTGCCCCTCAGGCGCCTGATTCCATGGGGCTCCAGGGTCTGGCAGGTCCAGCCTTGCAGACAGCAGCTTTCCAACGCAGGAGTGGTACTCTGGGATGCCTTCCTGGAGGAAGCGGGCTTGCTTGACTGGGTCTCAGGATTTGCTAAGTGGCAAAGTGGAAGAAGCAAATGGTCCATGTGTAAAGTAGGTTTTGCTGAGATCCAGGGCACTGGGCCTCCCTGAGCAGGGCAGGCTGGGAGAGGAGTTGCATGAGGGGGCGGGCATTCCGGGAAGGTAGGAGAGCACCTAGGGCCTAGAAAAACCCCGCTGGGCTGAAAGCCCAGCTCTCACATGGGCGGCAACCACCAGGCACAGCTCGCCCAGTGGGAGAGTTCACACAGCAGGGTTTGTGATGCAAGCAAGACCTGGCCCAGGGAGTGGGCGGCCCAGCTGAGCGCTGACCATATTCCTGGCTCTGTGTTCCCTGGGCACACTGGATCACCTCCCCAGGTCTTTCTGTGATGCTACAATTAGAGCCCCTGCCAGGTGAAAGAAATTCAACAGAATCTGAGAAAGTGGTGACGGACCAACCGGAAGCCAGGTGAAATCCAGCATTTCCCTGAGTTCAGAGAAGCTGGCAGGCCCCTGGGACGCAGGCAGACAAGGTCCCCCCTTTTACCTCCCACCTCCCGGCCACCCAACCCTACAGCTCTCTCTCTGCAATTCCCTCCCCTCCTACGGGAGGACACCATCCAAGGCCACAGGCCCAGACTGGAGCCCTGGGTCCTCCTGTCAGTGCCAGGGCCCCAGCACCTTACTTTGGAAGGGACCTCTGGGGAGCAGAGGTTGAGGAGGGTATGTGGGAAGATACCAGATTGGTTTGGAGAGGGCAAAAGAATACTGCCCTCCACCCCCAGCAAGAACCTGACATGGGGAATTGCTAGGCTCATGGCCAAAGGTCCCCGTCCTGGTCCTGGGGGCAAATGGATACCCCAGAGCACACACAGACTTAGAGTTCCAAAAGGGAGGCTTACAAAGGACAAGACCACTTGAGACAGTCAATCCTTCATTTTTCTCTTCGGCAACACTGGCATTGATAAAGACCCAAGTCAATGACAGCCATCGGGAGCACCCCTGGGCTGCTAAGTCGGGGCAGCACACGCGGTTCTTTCCTGCTGCAGGTCCCTCCCCAAGCTACCAAACCGCAGCTGCCACCACCCCTCTTATACCCCGGTCTGACCACCACACACATACCAGGCCTAAGGTCCCGCCCACCACGACAGCACCTTGTGCTTTGGGGCACTCATGGTTGAGAAGGACCAGGGAACCATTCACTCCTTCCAAAGATATGCACTGAATGGCCATTAAGTGCCAGGCACTGCCTTAGCACTGGGACCATGCTTGCCCCTCCTCAGCCACCACAGCTGGCTTCCATCCTTGCTATCAGTGAGTCTGTTGAAACTCCCCCAATAGACTGGCCTCTGGCCATCCGGCAGCCTGCATGTGACAGGCTGCTGCTACAGCTCATCAGTCCAGCCCTGGGCCATTTCACACTGGGGAGCCTCTCCCAGAGCCCTGACACCCCGTCACTGGGGCCTGAGGCCTGCGGTCCCCCGTCTGAGGCACCAACAGACACATCCAGGCTCTGGAGTGAGATCTGTCTCATCCTACCTCCTCCCTCAGCCCACCCTGCGACTGTCCCCTTTGGGATGCTTCTGGAATTCTGTTCTCTAGCCTTCGGAGCCTTGAGGAAATCACCCTTTCACAGGGTTCTACCCCCAGGGGTCGTAAAAACCACCATTCCTGGCCGCGCACCCCCCCCCCCCCACAAACATCCCCTCCCACCCCCACCACGCGTCTGCTTGGGTCCGGGCGCACTAAAGAGCCTGGTCCTTGGCGCTGGAGGTGGGCGCCAGGGCCCCCCGGTGCACACGCTGGTGCTTAAGCAGGTGCTGCTTCTGGCTGAAGCCACGGCCACACGCGGAGCACAGGTAGGGCCGCTCGCCCGTGTGGTTGCGCCGGTGCCGCGTCAGGTTGGGCTTCTGGCTGAAGCGGCGGCCGCACTCGGGGCACGGGTAGGGCCGCTCGCCCGTGTGGATGCGCTGGTGGATGTTCAGGGACGACCACCACGTGAAGCTCTTGCCGCACTCGTTGCAGATGAACTGGCGCTGCTCACCCGGCCCCGCGGCGGCGGCGGCGACTGCGGCCCGGGCCCCCGCCTGGCGCCACCAGCCCTGGCAGAGCCCCAGCCAAGCCCACTCGGGGCGGCCCCGCGGCGGCCCGGGCCGCAGGCGACAGCCCCGGCGGGCGGCGGCGTCCCGCAGCAACTCCTGCAGCCCGGCGCGGGCGCCCTGGCGGTCCCGGGCGTGCGCGCGCTGGTGGATGCGGAGGCCCACCTGGTGGCGGAAGCAGCGCGCGCACTCGGGGCACGAGTGGGTGGCGGGCCGCGAGTGGGTCTTCTGGTGCTTGAGCAGGTGCTGCTTCTGGCTAAAGCGCCTCGCGCACTCGGGGCAGCAGAAGGGCCGCTCGCCCGTGTGGTGCCGCTGGTGGCGCGCCAGGTTGGGCTTCTGGCTGAAGCTCTTGCCGCACTTGCCGCACAGGTACGGCTTCTCCCCGGTGTGGGTGCGCTGGTGGATCTTCAAGGATGACCACCAGCTGAACCTCTTCCCGCAGTCCAGGCACACAAAGTGACCCTCGCCGGCAGAAAGAGCCCGGCCTGCCAGCCCCGCCGCCTGCTCAGTGGGAGGGGCCCACCTTGGACCCCCCGTCTCCTCCTGTCCCCCCAAGGCCCGAGGCTTCCCCATGGTCTGGCATGGCGGGAGGCTCCGATGTTGCTGGAAGATGTTTTCCTTATCCTTCTCGGAAAGCTCGGCCTGCGGCACCAGCGTCTGCAGCATCCACTCTGGCTTCTCTGGCTTGATCTTCATCACCAGCCCATCTCCTGCCAGAGGCAAAGGGAGAGAGAGGACGGGGAGAGTCACTCACTGCCCGGTGGGCAGGCGGGAAGGAAGTGCCGGGAGGGCGGAGCACAGAAGACGCGGCGGGAGGAAAGGATGCTGAAGAGAGCACGCAAGAGGACAGGAGGGGAGAAGGGAGCGAGCACAGTCAGAGAAGGGCAGCTTGGGACGTGCAGAAGGAAAAGTACAAGAAAGGAAGAGACGCTGCAGTTCCAAGTCCACACCCACTGCCCCGCCTTCTCCACCCGGAGGCCCCAGGAGGCAAGGAAGATCTGGGTTCCCACCCAGGGAAGCAAGCAGAAAATGGCCACGCTTCAAAGCTTCTCATTCTTTTGCTAAGAGGACCCATGCGCTGGGAGCTTGCTAAGTGAGTGCATGCCCAGTCCCCCAGTAGTGGGGTGACCAAGCTCCATTTCACAGGCAGGCTCTCCATGGCAGGAGCCACGGGGCCAGAGCGCCTCACCTTCTTCCACCTTGGCTGTTTGGCAACTTCCCTTTCTTCAACAAAACCAAGAGCGAGAAAGGAGGCTGGAAAGGTCTCGGCACCCAGAAGAGGTGTTGTCCTGCCCTTCCTAGGCCCCTCTCTACTTCAGTCTCAGGAGTCCCCCCCCCACACACACACACAGCGAGCTCAGGTCTTCAGGGCTGCCTTGTCCCCCTCGCTCATGGACCCACACCGCGATGGAAGAGGCCTGCTACAGACACTACATACAGCCTGTGGGATTCCACTTACAGGAAGGTCAAAGGCTGGCAAAACTAACTTACAAGTTTGAAGTCAGCAAAAGTGCCACCTAGGGACGGTGCGCTGTGGCTGGAAAGGGGGCCTGAGGGGGCCTGGCAATGTTTTGTTTTTGTTTTTGTTTTAAGCAAGAGAGCCCAAGCAGGGGAGAGTGGGGGCCGAGGGAGAGGGAGAGAACCTTAAGCAGGCTCCATGGAGCTGGACACAGGGCTCGCTCTCATGACCCTGACATCAGGACCTGAGCCGAAATCGAGAGTCAGAAGCTTAATGGACGGAGCCACCCAGGGGCCCCATTGTTCCCTCTCTCGATCTGGGTGCTGGTTTCATGCACATGTTCACTTTATAAGAGAATGTATAGAGCTTGTGATCGGTACACTTTTCTGTGTTACACTTCAACAAAAAGTTTACATTTAGTAAAAAGTAGGTGAAATAAAAGAGTTGGCAACAAAAAAAGAGAAACTCTAAATAAGTTCTGATATTTAAAAAACAACAAAATAAACCCGAGGGAAGTAGGAGGAAGGAATTAGTAGATAAAAGCAGAAACTACAGGGTAAGGGAACACAGAGATATAAAAACGATTCTGAAAATCCTAAAATACTAAGGCAGAAATGTTGTATCAATTTGAAAAAAATCTATATAAAAGGGATGATTCTGTGAGACCATATAAATTAACAAAACTAACTCAAGAAGAGGGGGGAAAAAGAAAAAAAACAAACAAACATGTCCTAAAAGAGACAGAAAAGACAGCTAACATTCTACCTCAAAAATGGCAAAGAGGCCCCTTAACTGTAAAAACAGTTTCTACTAAAATTTCAAGGGAAGGGTTATCCAAAGCTTATATAAATGCTGACAGTGACAAGGGGGATAGGGAGCCCACAGGCTAGCATGATCCAGTGTCAACAAGACAAGGGCAGAGCAGGCAAGAAATTATAGGGTTAGCATTTGAAAGTAGACACCAAAAACAAACAAGCAAAACCATTGGCAAAGCAAGTTCAGCAGCATTAAAAAAAACCACATATCATGACCTTGCTGGGATCTTCCCTGGGAAAGCAAAGATGGCTCAATATAGTTCGTGACACTGACTTTCTAAACAGGCAAAACCTGACAATCTCAATCCATGTAAAAATGTCATATGATCAAGTCCAATATCATTTCTGGAGGGAGAGAAGGAAGAAGGGATGGAGGGAGGAGGAAGGAAGCTCTCAGCAAACCAGGCCTATGAGGAAACTTTCCTAGGCTGACAAAGAAGCTGTACTAGAAACTGCAGCAAATGTTATAACCAAAGGCAAGGGATTAGAAGCCCATTCAGGTGAGGAACAAGATGATGCTCAGGGTCACTGCCACTCTTCAACATTGTCCTTGAGGAACTAGCCAAAGCATGGGGGAGAAAAGAAAAATATATGTAAATATTGGAAGGGAAAAGAGACGTATCATTTGCAGATAATTATTAATATAGAATGTACAAGAGAATCTACTGACAATATATTAGAAATAAGAGTTTCAGCGGGGTGGTGCCTGGGTGGCTCAGTGGGTTAAGCGGCGGACTCTTGATTTTGGCTCAGGTCGTGACCTCAGGGTCCTGGGATCAAGCACTGTGTCGGGCTCCATACTCAGCCGGGAGTCTGCTTCAGGATTCTCTCTCTCCCTCTGCTGCTCCCCCCTGCCCTCTCTCTCTCTCTAAAATAAATAAATCTTAAAAAAAAAAAAACAAAAAAAAGAGTTTCACGGGATGCCTGAGTGGCTGAGTCGGTTAAGCGTCTGCCTTTGGCTCAGGTCATGATCCCAAAGTCCTGGGATCAAGTCCCGCATCAGGCTCCTTGCTCAGCAGGGAGCCTGCCTTTTCCCTCTGCCTCTGCCTGCCACTCCCCCTGCTTGTGCTTCCTCTGTCTCTCCCTGACAAATAAAGAGTTTCGGCAAGCTTGCCAGACACAAAAACATATAAAAATTCATAAATTTTAAAAATGGCAATAAAAGCTATAAAATAACTGGGATGAGATCTAACATACATACACTTATATCAAGGAAGCTATTAAATGTTACTGAAAGGATAAAGAAAATGTAACTAAAAGGACAGATACATCATATTCCTAGATGAGAAGGAAGTTCTTCACTCCAAAACCATGTTTAAATTCAGTGTAACCCTAATTAAGTGAATTACAAAATTTCTGATGTACACAAACCATGCAGAAAACTCTAAAAATGAGCAAGGAAGAATTTGGCTTATACAACATCGAAAGCTAACATACTACCAACCACACACCCATGGGGATGGGCAAAACCCAGAACACTGCCAACACCGGATGCTGGCGAGGATGTGGAGACACAGGGACCGTCATTCTCTGCTGCTGGGGATGCTGCACAATGCAGCCACTTTGGAAAACAGTTTGGCAGTTTCTGACAAAACAAAACATACTCTTTCCACATGATAAGCAATCCCTCCCCTGGTTATTTTCCCCAAGGAGCTGAAAACTTCTGTCTACACAGAAACCTGCACACAGATGTTTCTAGCACCCAGAAACTACTGAGGAGAACGAGTGTATATCTTTAAAAAAAAAAAAAAAAAGAAAAAAAGAATCTGGGGTTTCCAGGGCCAAAGAGCCTGGCCCCCCTCCACAGCCTCACTGGCCACCATGAGGACAAGGAAGCAGATGTGGTGACTGTGGGGATGGGGTGGGAGGGTGGGGGCCCAGATAGTACCTGTGAGGGGCCACTTTCCCTCCCGGCAACATGACCCTGGAAGGCCTCCCCAGGTGCTTGGTTGTGAGAAATCATTTTAGCAGGAGTCATACTTTGAAGATGAAAGTGGTGATTTAAGCTGCACACTGGCAGGAATTGAATACCCGACTGTAATAAGTTTACTTGACTATAAGAGGATTTCTTTAGATGTCCTGAAATGTTGGCCAGCAGAAGTATTTAACGCGATAGGTGTCCAAATTGGTGATCGGGCAGTGAATCCAAAATATACTCAGGTGAGCAGGGCATTGCTGTCCCCAAGTAACGGGGTCCCAATTAATGCCCCAGAGCCCCACAGAAGTCACTGCCTTGCTCTGATTAAACCTGGCCTTGATGTTATCATGGCGGCTGATGGCTGGGGAGGCAAGCCCTCTCCGGCCAAAAAGATGGGCCTGGCCTGGAAGCCCAGAGAACATTCCTGTCCTGTCCGCTGCTTTCAGGCCCAGAGCAGACACAAGTGAGTGGGCTGTGCGAGCATAGGCCCCTCTGAAGTGTGTGCACAGGGACTTCGGTCATCAGGCACACCTTCCCTCGGGGCTCAGGTATTAACACAAAGAAAACAGGCCCTGGCCTGTCTGTGGAAGGAGTCCTAAAACAAAGGTTCAGCTCCTCTGTCATCATAAAAAGGATAATTTAAAAAAAAAAAAAATTCTAAATGGTTCAGATAAAATACAAAGGTGCTAAATGGGGAGCTATTGCTCAATGGGGACAGAGTTTCTGGGGCGATGAAAATGTTCTGGAGATGGTGGTGCTTGCACAACCATGTGAGTGTACCTAATACCACGGGCTCGGATGCTTAAACATGGTTGAAACGGTAAATTTCACATTGTGTATATTTCATCACAATAAGAAAAAAACACAGAAAATAAATAGAAAAAAAAATTTAAAAAAAGAGGTAAGCTCGTAATTAACTGAAAACTTTGGCCATCCAGAAAGAGTCCCTCCCTCCCTAAGCCTGGCCAGCAGGTGCCCAACCCCCCAGTGCCTCCAACCTCCAGGGTCAAAGCTGGTGTTCTCCCACCTCTTCCCTAAGACCCCAGGGCACCTCAGAAGCTGCCAGAGGTGAGGGAGAGGGCCCTGGCCGACACATCTCTCATGCCCGAACTAGGAGTTACTTGCAAGTTTCCCTGGGAAAAGGTTCCTTCTGCTAAAACGTCTGGAACCACCGGTCCTCGGTTTTACCGTAATTATGATAACATCAGCATCTCTCATGGTCTCACACATGCACACCCCGGGGGCTCCCAGCCTTCGAAGTGACATGGGAGTGGTGGGGAGCTGGCCTGGGAAGCGGGGTGACTGTGCTCCTGAAGTCTGCGTCAGGAGCCAGCCCCAGGATGTGCGGTATCCGTGTAGACACCCCGCCCCCTCTGAGCTGGAAGCTTCATTCCTTCATTGCCCTACTGCCTGATTTTTGTCTCCATCTTAGGTTCACTGTGATGATTATCCTGGAAGGCTGGGGCCCTGGGGCCTGTGGGGCAAGGCCCTGGAAGGGAGGGGAGGTAAAGAAACCAGAGTCACTGAGCCAAGGGGCGGCGTTCCCAGGGACGGCCCCTGCCCCCTCCCCCAGGACCAGAGCCATTGGGCAGCAGGGTGGTGAGGAGGCCAGGGATGCTGGGGGCTTGGGGGCCTTGTGCCCAGAGCGCAGGACTCTCCGCTCACAGCAGCACCTGCCTGGCAGACACCAAAACTGCCTGCCTGTTTTCCTCTCCGCAGCCCGTGAACTCTGAGCAACCCCAGGAAGCTTTCATGGACCAAACCGAAGGCACTTTTCTGATCAAATCCCAACCGGGATCATCTTAACCCAGAGCGCTGGTTTTCAATGTTAGATCAGCGTGACCACCAGCAGTTAGCAAACGCCTCACTCGCCCTCCGACCCGGCTTTCTGCACGGGTGTGTGCGCGTCCCCTTGCCTAGCGAGGAAGGGTGGCCTTTTGTCATTTTCTTAGCTCCCGAAGTCGGTCTTCTTTGCCTTCTTTGATGTGACCTTCCACCTCCTGGTCCCGCTCTGCAATTCTACAGCCCACAGGCTCCTAGTGAGGGCAGCACCTCACACACAGGGGCAGGACAGGGGCCAGGGCGGGGAAGCTGGGCCTGGCGGAGGAGGCCGCAGGGGGCTCCCACGGGTCCCTGCGCTCCCTTACCTGTGCTCACGCCAGCCAGGCCACACTCCATCGGCGGAGGCTCCCGGGCACCAGCGCTTGCCCTGCCGTCTGTGGGTGAGAAGGGGGCAGAGGAAGGAGAGCTGGCCAGTGGGACAAGGACCAAATGGGCCCCCCCCCGCCCTCCTGCCACCTCACAGAATGTGTTCCCTCTTTTTCAAGAGCTTCTCTGTCCCTGACCTCAGTCATAAGTGCAGGGCTTTTGTAAAATTGCACACATACCTGCTAGGCAGGTAAAACGGGCATTATTCCCATTTTATGATCCCATTTTATGAGGAGGAAACTGAGGCCAGGGAGGGCCCCTGACATGCCCCGAGTCACAGAACCAGCTGAATCGTGGCACTGGGGGAGGCCCCAGCTCTTCTAACTCCCAGACCAGAGCCTCACACCCATGGGCTCAATATCAGCAGGGTGGGGGGTGAGAGATGCCACCCCAGGAAACTCAGCAAAGCCCGGAGACCCACCTGAGTGGTCGTGGAGTCACCCTGGAACACACCCTCATCGGCCCCTCTCCTTCAAAGTCCCCTCCCGTCCCTACTGCATGCAAGATCACACCCAAGCCATCTGGGAGGGGGGACCCGTGAAAGAGTTCACCCATCTGGGGCTCATGTTTTTTCCTTGTTTTAATGCTCAAGGTTTTGGGCACGTCCTGACTGGCTCGTTGTCAGGGACAGGTCAGCTGGGGGGCCCCAAGCTCCACTGGCTGCCCCTGTACGTGGGGCGCTCTCCCCCAGATCCCTGCATGCCACTCGCCTTTCAGTCTCTGCCTCAATGCCCCCTCCTCCAAGTAGCCTTCCCTATCACAACCCTAACCCCACTTCACATTCCTCCTTGACACTTTTCGCCACCTGACCTGGTATTTACTTGTCTGCATATACCGTCATCTTTCAAGAAGATGGGACTTTTCCGTGCTCACTGCTGAATGCCTGGCCTGGGAGAGAGCCCCAAGCCCGAGGGCACTTCCGGTGGTGTGTGGCCTGACCGGATGGCCGGCGGGAAGGCAACCAGGGGGGGGGGGGGGTTCATTTTCTGCACACAGTGCCATGGGCGGCCTCTCCTAAGGTTGTTTCACACACCTGTACCCGCCTTGCGCCCACACTTGCCAAGGCCCGAGTGAGGATCTGTGGCACCTGCCCCACACAGCCCAGATGCCCTGCTCCCCCTGCTGCTACAAAGGGGCTTCTCCAGGTCCCGGCCAGGGCTTTCTTCCCGGCACCTCACCTCAGCCACCTCACAAAAAGCCATCTCCTCTTGCTCTCCACCTTGGGCCCTCAAGAAACCTCATCCCAAGGGAGTCCCCCCTCCCCTCTGCCAGGTCCCCTTCCAACAGCCACTGGGGGGTGGGTAGGCAGGCAGGAACCCCTGGGTCCTGCCAAGAGAGGTGGGGGCAGGGGCATAAGGGCAAATATGAATTTAAAAAAGAAATCATTTTCCTTAGGGCAAAAGGGGAAAAAAACTCTGGCCCTTTCTTTTAGAGCATTTACTTAAGAAAAGTTGTCATTGTGAATGTCTCTCTGCCCCTTTGAGAGGCATGTAAATCTTTCCAAAAGTTACACAAGCCTCTTGTGAGCTTTACAAACCCCCGCCCCCCCCGCACCTCCCTCCAAGCCCTGGGAGCCACCTCCTTGAAATGTAAACACCAAGGGAGATGGTGACCCACAGGAGGGTGGGTGGGGGCCTGACTTCCGGGGGTGCCCGGCTCCAGGCTGCAGAACTACCCCCTTCATAAAGATAGGAGACACGCCCTGTTCCTTGGGAGAAAGGCAGTTAGCAAACACAGGTGGCCACCCCAATGGCCAGCTGAATTTAGGATAACTCTGGGTGACAAACGGCGCCACTGGGGAAGTCCTCTTGCTGAGGACGAGTTACACTTTTATCTGGAGACCGTGTGCAGCAGGCTGCGTCAGCTGGGCTGTGTAAGGGGGGGGGATCTCCTTCAGTTTCCTAATCTCTTAGCGGATTGCCTGTGATGTGCATCTCTTTCTGCTTTCATGCTTATTCGATTAAAAAAAAAAAAACTTCTCTTTTTCTCCTCCTTTTGTGGGGAGCTTTTCTGAGTTGGCTGGAGATTTTGTTTTTAATTCTATTTCCCCAACAGGGGTATGCTATGCACCCCTACTGTGGTTTCTTACAGATGCTAAAACTGTCTGTGGTGCAGAGAAAAAGCAGGCAGGGAGAAGAGGGTAGGGAAAGGCCTAGCGGGAAGCCCCAATGGACGGATGGATGGGTGGATGGATGGACGCATGGATGGATGC